TCTGACCTGTTCCAAGAATGCAACCATGAAACGGTGTCGTTCTTCCCCAAGCCTCCTGCCCTCCTCAGTTCGCAACATGCTTTGAAGCTTCAATAACTTGTCGTGGTAGTGTTGAATTGAACATTGTGGATCCAATTCTCCGCTGTCTGTAGTGGCGTACAAAGCTCTGTTCACAACAGCAGAGTAGGCTGAGCACCGCATAATACCGAATGCGCCCATCGCATCGAGTTTGTCGGCGTCTTGAACGCTGGAATAAGGACCCTATTAGGGGCTTTGGCGATAAAATGGCTGAACAGCTGCTCACCAATGCAGTTCGAGGCAAGACTCATGCCATGGAGTCTGCAAACCTCCAGCTATTCGCTTGACTTCTTTGCTATAGGAGACATTCTCGATAATCTTGCTTACTTCGGCCGCTGTGTCCTTTGATATGGTCTCCTCGTGTTCGCGAAAGAAGGCCTCAAGTAAGGAGCGGTCGTCACCTTGGGAGTATTTGGCACTAACAAAAGATCAGATCTCGATCATTATAGCGTAAATTCAGCGTCTACATACTCGAAGAGGTCATGAAATAGCACAGCGAGCTCGACAACGAAGATATTCAGAGCATCGGACCTCTCTTCTAGTATGCTTCTTGCCAGTCGCAGTGCCGTATTCCGTACACGATTGACATGAAGGAAGTCATGGGAGGGGTCGTAGGAGGCCATACTGCGCGCATTTGGAGATGTGAGTTTGCCACCAGGGCTGTTGGCCAATGAGAGTATCCCCATTGGCTTACTGTTCTCGCACAAGCTTTTCTGCAGCCCTTAGAGCACGGGTTTGACCAATTTCAGTATTCATCGGCACTGATCAACAGTATGGGCAGGAGGCAAGTTTTGGTCGTGCTGATTAGTCAGCAAAGTGCTCTTTGGACCCTATGGCTGCGTTCAGAGCTCGGCAGTTGGTGCGCCTCCTTTATTTTTGAATATTCAGGAATACTCACTTCGAAGTCCTTTGTGCAAAACAATTTCATTTCTGCTACATAGGGAACGCTAACAAGGTGCTACACAAGAGCAATGTCAATTCCCGTGATCGATATCAGTCCATTCCACAAGACCCCTCTCCTCCAGACTACTCGACCATCCTTAGAATGTGTTCAGACTAGCCAGGAACTCTACCATGCTCTCTCTGAATGGGGATTCTGTCTCATCAAGAACCACGGGATACCTCCAGAGTTGCGGAAGCAAATATTCCAATCAGCAGAAGACTTTTTTGGACTTCCGGAGGAGGAGAAGCTAGTTCTTCATGTCAAGAAAGGGGGCGTTGCCTGGAGGGGGTTCATGCCGAGAGGTGGAGAAGCCACTCACGGGTTTACCGACCACAAAGAGGGCATGTACTTTGGCCCCGAGCATCAAGAGAATCATCATCACGCAGGATTACCTCTGGTGAGCGGATTTCTCTTCTCTACTCGAGCGGCTCTACAGTTGACCCCGCTAACTTGCGTACCACAGCATGGCAAGAATCAATTCCCGGACGACACTGTACCCACAATGCGTCCAGCAATTCTATCCTATATCGACCAAGTCACCAACTTGGGCAAGTGTCTCTCCGACGCTATGTCCCTTTCGTTGGGTTTGGATGTTGGCTATATGCGCCAACACTTTCTCTCCCCGGAACCAGTGGCCATTGTGCGCTGCTTCAAATACTTTGCCCCTGAGGATAACCCTGAAGGCAAATGGGGCATCGGTGAACACACCGGTACGAAATGGCGAATTCCGCAATTCTGGCTAATTTGACGAATTTACAGATTTTGGATACTTGACCATTCTGAACCAAGGATCGCCCGGCTTGCAAATCCTATCCCCAACAAAGGAATGGGTTGACGTCCCAGCTGATGAAGATACGCTGGTGTGTAATGGTGAGATTTATCTTATCCTTTGGGTTCATTCCAATAACCTAACGCCGCCAGTCGGTGATATGCTCGACATGATGACGGGTGGTCGCTTCAAGAGTGTCCCACATCGCGTCAAGCCTCCTCCACCGGGAACATATCGTATCTCGTTTCCCTTCTTCTTCGATTTCTCATGGGATGCAAAGATGGTTCACCTTCCATTAGATCATCTTGGGCCGCTCTCGCAACTGCAAGAAGAAGAAGCAAAGGCGCGGTGGGCAAACACCACCTTTACCGGAGTTTGTGAGTCCACAGTGTAGTTGCTGTTGGATAATGTTGATATGAACGACCACTTTAGCTGGAGTCTGGGCACAGTACCTCGCCAAGAAGGTCAAAAAGGTCTTCCCAGACTTGGATTTGCCCGACTTTGAACACAATTCTAAGCCCTCAACGAGGTTTACTGTAGCAGTAAATGTTTGAATCGGCCCAAAGTCATTTATTGACTGCAAAGAGTTCAGTTTGGGTCCATTGGGAACCTTGGCTTACCCTGTTTGTTTATATTGATTTCAAGTATACAAGTTCGCCGTAGTTAGGTCTATAGCGTCCCCGTTGTTTCTTTCTAAGTGAGCACCAATAGTACATACGTTTCTCCAAAATCTTCTATTCATGCGAGATTTATTTACGTTGTGGATTAGGGTGCTTTTTTCTAAGTCGCTGGCTTTTGGGTGGCTCGCCGGTTTGAAGTGCGTTTGATACTAAAATACTCAGCTTTTCGACTCCTCTTCTTTGTCTTCTTTCCCGCTGCTGGCGCTTAGATCTCTGCATTCTTTCCTGGTCGCCACGAGCTGATTCTCGGGCCTCCGCTTCAATTTGAGGCATTTCGACTGTCGCGATATGGGTCGCAGTATCTTTAAATTGTTGGTAATTTATCTTTGACTTCCTTTGGCGACGAGTGTTGGTCTCAATTTTCTCCATTCTTGCTTCCTTTTCTGGAATGATATAGCCTCCTTTTGTCCACTCCAAGCTCCGTCTACTTCGCGGCTTTCCTACATAGTGGCCCTGTATGGGTATCTCATGGTCAGGTTTCCGGTCCTGGTTATAGGTAGCACATAAATGTGCCCAGCTGCCTATGATTTGCTTTAGATTCCCAAGCTCCCGGAGCATCTTGTCCTCTTTTTCGGGGCGTTGCTCTATATAATGCAGTTCGGTGATTCTTGTGGGATCAGAGTCAACGTTGTGCTCGGGAGAGACGATGGAGGTTTGTCGAGTAAGCTCTTGAGAAGAAGACTCCGAACTTGATGGCGGATTAGCTTGTTCCATCAAGGGAAAATGTTCAGTGACCACCAGACTAGAATCTTCATTTTCTTTTGTCTAGAAAAGGACGAGAGGATCAGCATGACCGCATTGTTGCCCTTCGCACTATCCACCTTGGGCAATGTTTCACGGTGCTTTCTTACAACTTCGTGAAAGGCAGCTTCTTGTCGAGCTGCTAGTACAACTTCTTGTTCCGCTTCCTTAACGGAATCTATAGCCAGCCGCTTGGCTAACGCCACCAGCTCGACGAGTTCTCCCCGAATCTGGCGCTTTTCAGCACGAAGTGCGTGGGCTTTGCATAAACAGTCATCAATTTTGGTTTCTATAACGAAATCTTCTATGTAGGCACCGTTCTTTGCGGGCAGTGGGTGTGACATATCGGGCGGGTTTGGTTGGGGGAGCGTGAATTCGAACTCTATAGCCAGGCTCCATGATGAAGCAATACTTCGACCACCACAAGGTCTGGGACCTATCATCCATGAATATCAACTGTTAAGAGTAATCAGAACACCTCACTGATTATGATCGCGGTGCTCGTTTCAAGCGTGTAATCTTATTCCAACTATGGACATGCCCAGTATAAAGCCTGCGGGGGCGTGACACCTAGCGAATGGTGAAAATATTTAAGATAATTATGAAGCCTTATACACTTGATGTAAGTGAGTACACCTTGTTGTATTGTCGACATGAATGGCTCCTCTGAGGGTGGTGTACTTAATAGTTCTATATTAAAAAGCTCCTTTCCAACGTCCTAAGCGATCCAACAGAGCACAGAAGAGCTTGGTATCCCACGTTACAATGCCTTTGCTTTGCTTTGTCCACCTAAAGCGTCATTACTCAACCAGGGGGTCACTTGCCATAAAAAGTATTTGAAAGAGTTCAAAGTATATTAGAACACTAGCTCGTTTACAAGCTCTACTCTCCGAAAACTTGTAGACCGAAAAGTGAACAAGCCTGGGCTAGGTTGTATGGAAAAAAAAATTGCAATCAGCGATTCAGAATATCCACGCCTAATCCATCTCGTAAAGTTCCATATTCGAAATCTACAATGTTTTCCATTTTCGTGTGGGAGTCCTGGAAAGAGATGCAAGTGGTGGACAGCAAGTTGCGCTTTTTGTGGCGTAACTTCGTTTCGACCATCTTGGTGAGAAAAGAGCGAGGAACCACCGGACTATCTAGCTACTCATTTGACACCTCTGGGAATCGGCGATACAACATCGGGCAATTGTCCACTAAGAATCAAAGCCGGCGACCGCGATACTTGCCCTTTTCAGCTGTTGAGAAAGAAGGATCCTGCGTCAGTACCCTTCGAATTCTACCGTGGTATAGCAGTAGAGGGTCGCTCTTACTATAGTGCATAACCCTCTTTCTCCTTCTCTATTCAAGTACTTTCGACGGCCCGTATCGTTCTGGTATACCGCACCATGATCCGCTCAGAGAGGCAACGACCGGATCTCATGTATATATTCCAATGAACTTTGTTCACACCTCGAGATTATCGTCCCAGTTCTATTCCAGTTGGGCCTCGCCAGATTCTTGTTAGAACCAGCAGCGAATACGAGTGCACTAACAAGGCTGTCCCAAAATGACCCGTGTGCTTCTAGGCTTAGCTTTGCTTCACTTTAGCGCTGCTTTATCTTTCGGAGAGTCTCTTTTCGATGGGGACTTTGGAGTGCCTTCTTCCGGGAATGCCCTTTGGTACCGTGCTCCTGCCAATAATTGGGTCTTGGAATCCTTGCCGATTGGTAACGGCTACTTGGGAGGTAAGATATGTTCTATTCCTTTCACGTGCTACTTTGCTGAGTATTGAAACTAGCTGCTGTGTATGGAGGAAACGCAAACGATACGATAATCTTGAACATAGACAGCTTATGGCAAGGAGGTCCGTTCGCAGACCCTGTAAGATTATCACCATATAAATACACTATATTCGTCTAACTCATTTCCTCGTAGGATTACAAAGGAGCCAATTGGGATGCTGCTGATGCACCACTGGTACATGAAAGGCTCGCCCAATTACGAACTACCATATTCCAAAATGGAACGGCACCCGGTACATAGTTTTTCCCATTTAATATAAATGTCTCTAACGTTCAATCAGATTTAAACAATCTCACTACAG